GGAGGGCGAATGTTGTCGCCGACGCTCTGTCAAGAAATATAGCACCAGTACTGCCTGTATCAACCTTCACTCTTTTGCAACTGGAAGATGAGCAACGACGCAACCCATTATGGTCAGCAGTCATTTTTGCTCTCGAATCAGGAGAGGCTGCTAAACTCCCCAAATTAATTCTTCCCTTAAGTCAGTTTGAATTACGACATAACATACTCCATAGGTCGAAAAAGACGCCAGAGGATAATGTTTCTCAAATAGTCGTACATGACACGTTGTGTAAAGCGGTTATAACATTGTTCCATGATGTCCCACAGGCAGGTCACCAGGGTCGTGACAAATGCTTAGCGGAATTACGAAAGGAGTATTTCTGGAACACTATGAAGAAAGACATAGAATTACACATTGCTAAATGTTTGGCATGTGCTCAACATAAAGGTTCTACAGGATCACCAGCCCCGATTCTACAATATCCTACACCAGACTGTCCGTTTGACACTGTCGCTATTGACTTGTTACAACTCCCGAAGAGTCATCAGGGATCAGCGTACGTCTTAGTGTGTGTGGATCATTTTTCCAGGTTCATGGTCTTGGTCCCACCAAAAGATAAAACGGCCGATGCTGTGGCCTATGCATTAGTGATGAATCTTATATGTCCATATACTACGCCTAAAGTTCTGCTCTCTGACAATGGGACAGAGTTCAAGAATCAGCTAGTGGCGCAAATGTGTGCAATATGGAATTAAATGAAGTTTGGTGACAGCTTATCATCCACAGGCTAATGGCCTGTTGAGAGAACCAATCGCAAGATCCTGGAGATACTGCGCCCGATTGTCATTGATTTGCAATACACATGGGAAGATTGGTTACCGCAGGTTGCAGCGTCTATCAATGGGTCGATTAATAGCTCTACGGGCAAATCACGCTACTACATTGTCTATGGTGCAGATAAACGGCTACCTTACGACACCCTTACAGATGCGCCGTACCCGGTTTATATTATGGATGATTTCGCGGCAAAACAAATTCGTGTCTTTACGGATATTCATACCCCAAGTCCGATCACATTTAGCGGCGTCACGTGCCAAAATGATGATCAAGCAACATAAACATGCTAAGCCTGTGTTAAACGTAGGGGACGCTGCTATGGTACGAGAACCTGAAAGGAACTCCAAGCTTTCGGCTAAATTTTCAGGTCCATTCCGCATTATTGCCAAAGAAACAGGCAACGAATTTAAAATTTGGAAGCCTAATGCACAGATTGCAGATGTCGTGCATGCAGATCGTCTTAAAAACACCCATGAGAATTTATTGCCTACAGTTGATGATGATGTGATAGACACCTCTTTACAGACTGTACAGAAGCACAGTGCTCCCAATGACTATTGTGTGAAACTTCGTTCTGCAAGTAGATGTTAAACTGTGTGTAATCTCTTACAGAATGGCTTGGAATATCGCTGTGTTACTTCTACTGTGTTGTGGCACCGTTGTGTTGACAGACATGTCCACATCCGTCCTCAAGCCTGGTGCGCTAGTTGCACCTCTTGGACGCGTTCTCATAGTTGAGGACGTGGTGAACATCAAGTATGAATTACATGGACTGCTCCAGCTTCCACGTCAGGTGGACAACGTCGACGCCCAACTACAATCAGCATTGGACATTCTTCAAGGTCTCAGCGCAGCTACTAATGAATCGACGATAGTTTCACAAACTATTGACCTTCTACACTTTCGTCTCCAGAACCTTCGGAATTTTCTCGTCGATGTTGGAGAGAGATTACCAGCGTCTGAAGTGGATCTTGCTAAAGAAGTGCATTCTCAGACACGACGAAAAAGGGGTCTTTTTAATTTTGTGGGTCTTATCCAAAGCACTTTGTTTGGCACGGCAACGGCCGATGATGTAGCTAAATTGGGGGACCGAATAAACATTGTCGTTCAAACTGTCTCTCAGCAGAATCGTGTCGTTTCTCAAACCTTTCATGCGATTACTGCTTTAGAATCAAAGGTTAATGCAATAATATCGGAGCCTAACCAAGTATCGAGGATTATTAGTAGGTTACAGAAATCAATCCCGACGTTAGAATGGCTCCTTTATTTCACAGAATATTTGCATGCTGCGGAAATTTCAGTTCAGAAGATTGTAACCTGTAAAAATGAACTAATTGACAGCATTGTAGATGCAGGGATAGGACGTGTGGATGCAAAGCTTGTCCCTGTGCAGATGCTTCTTGACACTTTACAGATAGCCAAGTTGCAGTATCACTTAACTCCTATTTTTAATGACAATGAGGTTGAATATTATTACCTGCTGTTGGAGTCGACTCTCACGCACAATGCTATCCTCATCCACATTCCTATGCGAGGGCAACATCAGTTTAATGCATGGCATTTAGAACCCTTCCCCTGGTTTGTGAACGACACACTGTATACTCTGGATACGCCTAAAGAACTTTTCCTAATAAATGAAGATTATTCTTTATTGGCAATAGAGGATCCTAAGGTACTGTCACGGTGTAAGTCGTCATATCTACACCTACACGTATGTCCAGCCTACATGTTCGCGTTTATTCCTGCTGCAGAGGGAATATGTGAATTGGCAGTCATACAAACCAATGTACGCACAGCACTTGCGCATTGCAGCTATAGGCCAGTTAGTCTCAAAACTGTGTTTCACGCTCATCTTCACAATGTGCAGTACACTAGTTCTTTCCAAATACTACTACTGTTATTTTAAAATGCCATGATGGTGTTAAGCAGCTAGTTGTGAAAGGGCATTACAAGGCTCCGGATTATTGTGAAATCACCTGTGGTTCATTACGGACCTTGCCTACTCATCAGCATTTTGCCTTAAATATAAAACTCAAGTCTGCCTTAATTCCACTTCCTGTCATGAATTTCACTATAAAAGATATTCAAATTGTTTCAGAGAAATTAAAACTCATAGCATTCTTGAAAGACACAATTTGCTGATTTGAGTAATAATTTGCCATTTTATCTATCATGGGAATTTGCTATACCAAGCCTCACAATTCCCTCAATTATGTTAATTTTGGCAATCATGTTTCTGTTCTGTTATTATAAGTCAGTGTCATCCAAGATGAACGTTGTTCATAACATTCTAACCCGTAAGACACTAAAGTATAGGTCCCCTGTAGTAACTAATACCTCTACAGTAGTAGAATCCCCAGCTTAGTGTCTACACATCTGTTTATAACATGGTTAGGGTTGTCAAGGATGTACTGTATTCTGTGAGCTTATTTAGGCCTCACGGAGTTTGGCTGTAGGTGACCGAGCGATGTAATGGCCCCTGACTCATCAACAGAAGTATTATATAAATGGGTTATTTACATCTGACTTATATTCAGATTCACCACCTGTAACTTTCCACTAATTATGAGTAAGACATGAACTGATCACGTGAAGGGTAACTTTCCTAAGAGGGAGAAGCCCATATGTCAGCATCTATGTAAGCGTGCAGTAGTGCGATGCCTTCGTCAGTCACTCACACCAACTTTTATCGAACGGACGTTGATCCACGTTTATTTAACATAAACGCCGTCCTCTTTCTCATTCACTCATAAATAGTGGAACTTACGGTTGATATACACTCAGAAATTATAAACATAATACTTTTATAAAACAAGAAACTTCAATTGGGTTTCGTTACCAAAAGCCCAATTATATTATACCATCATAAATCAATTAATTTTAAAATATAATTTATAAAGTAAAATTTTATAAGACAATGGTTTAGTAGTGCTGTTAATGTGTGCGCTGTGTTTTGGCATGTCACCTCACCACCTGACTCCTGAACTAACTCTTCACCAACTTCTTCAAATCCTACAATGTGCTTGGTAAGTTCAAGAATATTTCTTTGCATGTTTGGTGCACACACACACAGGAATTAAGACAACAAGCATCCAGTGAGGGTCTTGTGTGACTGCATAGAGGCAAATTAAAAGATCAGCTGTTGAAGAACTTATTGCTTGGCAACACTGGTGCATGTTACCACTCCATCTCTCTAATCACCCACACCTTTCTCACTCCACATTTTAAAATGTTATGTAATGTAATATTGAAGGGATACAACTTTGCTCATTTATACTTATACTTATCACAGTCTCCTGGAAAATACTTAAGTTTTCGTCTTTATTCAAGACATCTTCAGGTCATGAGACCCACTAATCCCCCCCATCCAACCTAAACCTAACATTGAGTCAAGTCAGCTCCCGCCCCAAAATACTTTAACTTTCATCTTTATTCAAGACATTTTCAGAAAATGCTCTCGATAACCTTGGAATTTTTTTTCCCATAGCCGGAAACGATTTTCTGGGCAAATTTCAATTCCGGGTTTGAGGGATTTCGATTAATGGAGATATTACTACAAGTTTGTGTGTTCATGATTAATAATGATAATAAAAACAATAATCAAGAGTTTATTGAGAAAATATGATAGTCTTAAAAACAAAATACACAATACTGTAGAGAGATTACATATTGTGACATTGGGGAGTGCATTACAGTCATCCCTAGGTTATCACGCCTAATTGGGACCGCGCCGAGTGCGTGATAACGAAAAATGCGTTAACAAAAGTACAGAACCCATGGGATTTATTCTAATTGGTTCCAGGCACCCAAGACCCAAACCCAATTTTCCCATTTTACGACCATTTAGACCCACTAAAGATATAGATAATGTTATGGTAAGTATCAAAAACACACATAGGCATGGCTAGGTTTATTACAAAGTGATGAAAAGGGTACTCTCAATACTGTAGTCTACAAAACATGTAGCTATGCTTTCTTTATTCGAGTTCCCCGTCTGAGGAGTCTGTTTTCTCATCGCTTCAGGACACCTGAGTCCTCTGTTTTCTCTCAATCTTAGAGTGCATCCGAGATTTCGTTATTCCTTAGTAATGACACAGAATTTGAAATTGCAGCAGGGGTTGCAATTGTTGAGGCAACTTTGATGTGTCTGATTACAGTTGGAACATCCAAGATCCATTGCGAGTGATGTTGAAAGCTTCAACTGTCTTTATGGTTGGTAAAACTTGTCAAGTAAGTGAGTGTCAAGTCTGTCAGTATGAGTGGCATGCGTGAGTGCTTGTGTTTGTACAACTGCTTTCAAGGTTTGTTACCTCCATCCATTTTCATCCGGCAAATGTGTTATTGCCAATTTGTAGGTGAAAGATTTTATCCTCAATAGATGTAGGTGAAGCAAATGGGTAAAAACACCTGGAGGCAACTGCGTGATAACGAAATTCTCGACTTGAAAAATGTGCTACAACAGCAGGTGTGGCGATTTTGATGAGGGCGTGATAACGAAAATCGCAATAACCAAGTGCGCTATAACCAAGGGATGACTGTACTTTACAAAAGCTTTCAGAAAAAAAAAGGGCCTAACAGATTTCAGAGGTTGAAAAGGAGCTGGTCTTTGTGCTGGTGAAGCTGTAGAAAAGGTGTCTGACAGCTGTGTATAGACAACATCCAATCTAAGATGGTTGTGGTGTTAGTGAGGGTGATGCACCAGCTGTGAGTGCCTCTTGTAGATGGATTTTAGAAGCACCATAACACTATTGTTCAGGTTCAGAGGTAGGGCTAACATCAGGTGCTGAAGGTAGGGCTAACATCAAATGTTGGTGTAACAAATTAGTTTAGCCCTAAAAGCATCTGCTCTGCCTCTCCTTGTAATGTCTCAGCTCGCTCGATGAGTAACATCTGGAAGGAAGACCTATTCATTACCAAATGTAAGAAACTGCTAACATTACATCAACTGAAGGTAAACACAAAATTGTGTATACTTTGGTTACCAGTGCATTTTACAACCTAATTTTTACATCCCCAAGTGCAGAAATTTTCAAAGATGAACACTTATAGTTATTATTCTTGACAAATGAAAAATACAGCAAAGGATAAGTGACCCTTTGGATGTTTTCCCATCTGCCAAGCAGCTCTCTTGTTATAAACAGCTGCTGCAGCAACAGTTAATACAGTATTACTTACACTACTACAACAGTTAATATTACTTACACTACTACAACAGTTAATATTACATACACTACTACAACAGTTAATATTACATACACTACTATAACAGTTAATATTACTTACACTACTACAACAGTTAATATTACATACACTACTACAACAGTTAATATTACATACACTACTACAACAGTTAATATTACATACACTACTACAACAGTTAATATTACTTACACTACTACAACAGTTAATATTACATACACTACTACAACAGTTAATATTACTTATACTACTACAACAGTTAATATTACTTACACTACTACAACAGTTAATATTACTTACACTACTACAACAGTTAATATTAAATACACTACTACAACAGTTAATATTATATACACTACTACAACAGTTAATATTACATACACTACTACAACAGTTAATATTACATACACTACTACAACAGTTAATATTATATACACTACTACAACAGTTAATATTACACTTACTACAACAGTTAATATTATATACACTACTACAACAGTTAATATTACATACTACTACAACAGTTAATATTACATACACTACTACAACAGTTAATATTACATGCACTACTACAACAGTTAATATTATATACACTACTACAACAGTTAATATTACATACACTACTACAACAGTTAATATTACATGCACTACTACAACAGTTAATATTATATACACTACTACAACAGTTAATATTACATACACTACTACAACAGTTAATATTATATACACTACTAAAGTATCACCTTGGCACTATCAATGATCTGTACAGCTGTCCGGTGAGGAAGATGGGCAACACTGCTCAATAGGTCTTTAGGCTTGGCACTGGCAATATCTCGCAGAGAATGATAACCAGCATTGTAGAGCATCCGAGCCCGACCCTACCAGAGAAACAACCACAGTAATATCATACATTTTAACAACAAGAAGTCATTACATAATTATTACTCTATTACATGTAGCAATGGTTACATAAATACAGCCATCATGTTTACCACTGTCTCCCTCCACTGTCTTTACTTCCTTGTACTGTACCCTAGTGCTTGTGTTCCTTCCTTGTACTGTACCCTAGTGCCTGTGTTCCTTACTTGTACTGTACCCTAGTGCTTGTGTTCCTTACTTGTACAGTACCTTCTTGTACTGTGCTTGAGTTCCTTCCTTGTACTGTGCCCAAGTGCTTGTGTTCCTTCCTTGTACTGTGCCCTAGTGCTTGTGTTCTTTCCTTGTACTGCACCCTAGTGCTTGTGTTCCTTCCTTGTACTGTGCCCTAGTGCTTGTGTTCCTTGTACTGTACCCCAGTGCTTGTGTTCCTTCCTTGTACTGTACCTAGTGCTTGTATTCCATCCTTGTACTGTGCCCTAGTGCATGTGTTCCTTCCTTGTACTGTACCCTCATGCTTGTGTTCCTTGTACTGTACTCTAGTGCTTGTGTTCCTTCCATGTACTGTGTCCCAGTGCTTGTGTTCCTTCCCTTGTACTTATGCCTAGTGCTTGTGTTTCCTTGTAATGTACCCTAGTGCTTGTGTTCCTTGTACTGTACCCTAGTGCTTGTGTTTCTTCCTTGTACTGTACCCTAGTGCTTGTGTTCCATGTACTGTACCCTAGTGCCTGTGTTCCTTCCTTGTAATGTACCCTAGTGCTTGTGTTCCTTCCTTGTACTGTACTCTAGTGCTTCCGTTCCTTCCTTGTATTGTACTCTAGTGCTTGTGTTCCTTACTTGTACTGTACCCTAGTGCATAGGTTCCTTTCTTGTGCTGTACTCTAGTGCTTCTGCTCCTTCCTTGTACTGTACTCTAGTGCTTCTTTTCCTTCCTTGTACTGTACTCTAGTGCTTGTGGTCCTTCCTTGTACTGTACCCTAGTGCTTGTGTTCCTTTCAATTTTATTTCAATTGTTTATTCCTTGACAGAGGAAGCGGGATCCTAGTGCGGTCACTAGGTACCCCTGTTCAAAAACACCAGAAGCATCTGGCAAGTGTGACAAGTATATACAGTATAAATTTTATAAAGGGGCTTACTAAAGCCCAAGGAAGGAAGGATATTCCTTGAACACATAATCAATGTTATTTACATAATATCTGGCCAGTATGGGGAGGATCATCGTGTCTCCGTCAGGGGGTCGTGGATCTTGAGTTCCTTCCTTGTACTGTATCCTAGTGCTTGTGTTCGTTCCTTGTACTGTATCCTAGTGCTTGTGTTCCTTCCTTGTACTGTACCCTAGTGCTTGTGTTCCTTCCTTGTACTGTGCCCTAGTGCTTGTGTTCCTTCCTTGTACTGTACCCAGGTGCTTGTGTTCCTTCCTTGTACTGTACCCTCGTGCTTGTGTTCGTTCCTTGTACAGTACCCTAGTGCTTGTGTTAGTTCCTTGTACTGTACCCTAGTGCTTGTGTTCCTTCCTTGCACCCTAGTGTGGCTTACTTGTACAGTACCCTAGTGCTTGAGTTCCTTCCTTGTACTGTGCCCAAGTGCTTGTGTTCCTTCCTTGTACTGTGCCCTAGTGCTTGTGTTTCTTCCTTGTACTGCACCCTAGTGCTTGTGTTCCTTCCTTGTACTGTGCCCTAGTGCTTGTGTTCCTTGTACTGTACCCCAGTGGTTGTGTTCCTTGTACTGTGCCCTAGTTCTTGTGTTCCTCCTTGTACTGTGCCCTAGTTCTTGTGTTCCTTCCTTGTACTGTACCCTAGTGCTTGTGTTCCTTCCTTGTGTAGTGCTTGTGTTTCTTCCTTGTACTGTACCCTAGTGCTAGTGTTCCTTTCTTGTACTGTACCCTAGTGCTTGTGTTCCTTCCTTGTAATGTACCCTAGTGCATGTGTTCCTTGTACTGTACTCTAGTGCTTGTGTTGCTTCCTTGTACTGTACCCTAGTGCTTGTGTTCCTTTCTTGTACTGTACAATAGTGCTTGTGTTCCATCCTAGTAATGTTCCCTAGTACTTGTGTTCCTTGTAAAGTGCCTTAGTGCTTGTTTCCTTCCTTGTACTATACCCTAGTGATTGTGTTGCTTCCTTGTACTGTGCCCTAGGACTTGTGTTCCTTCCTTGTACTGTACCCTAGTTTTTGTGTTTCTTCCTTGCACTGTACCCTAGTGATCGTGTTCCTTCCTTGTACTGTGCCCTAGTGTTTGTGTTCCTTGTACTGTGCCCTAGTGCTTGTGTTCCTTCCTTGCACTGTACCCTAGTGCTTGTGTTCATTCCATGTACTGTACCCTAGTGCTTGTGTTCCTTCCTTGTACTGTACCCTAGTGCTTGTGTTCCTTCCTTGTACTGTACCCTAGTGCTTGTGTTCCTTCTACTGTGCCCAAGTGCTCCTGTTCCTTCCTTGTACTGTACCCGAGTGCTTGTGTTCCTTCATTGTGCTGTACTCTAGTGCTTGTGTTCCTTTCTTGCACTGCACTCTAGTGCTTGTGATCCTTCCTTGTACTGTGCCCTAGTGCTTGTGTTCCTTCCTTGTACTGTGCCCTAGTGCTTGTGTTCCTTCCTTGTACTGTGCCCTACTGCTTGTGTTCCTTTCTTTTACTGTACCCTAGTGCTTGTGTTCCTTCCTTGTACTGTACCCTAGTGCTTGTGTTCCTTCCTATGCTGTACCCTAGTGCTTGTGTTCCTTCCTTGTAATGTACTCTAGTGCTTGTGTTCTTCCATGTACTGTGTCCCAGTGCTTTGTGTTCCTTCCTTGAATTGCAACTAGTGCTTGTGGTTCCTTCCTTGTACTGCACTCGAGTGCTTGTGTTCTTTCTGTACTGTACCCTAGTTGTGTTCCTTCCTTGTAATTTACCCTAGTGCATGTGTTCCTTGTATTGCACCCTAGTGCTTGTGTTCCTTCCTTGTACTGTGCCCTACTGCTTGTGTTCTTTTATCAAACTCTAGTGCTTGTGTTCCTTCCTGAATTGCACTTAGTGCTTGTGTTCTTCCTCATGCTGTAATTCTAGTGCTTGTGTTCCTTCCTAATGTACTCTAGTGCTTGTGTTCCTTCCATGTACTGTGTCCCAGTGCTTGTGTTCCTTCCTTGTACTGTGCCCTACTGCTTTGTTCGTTCCTTTTACTGCAAAACTCTAGTGCTTGTGTTCCTTCCTTGTACTGTACTCCTAGTGCTTGTGTTCCTTCCCTTGTACTGTACTCTAGTGCTTGTGGTTCCTTGTCCAGTTCACACAGTGCATGTGTTCTACTAAAATTACGCTTCCGTCTGTAATTTATGCTTGTGCCTTTGTACTGTACCCAGTGCTAGTTCCTTTCTTGTAATTGTACCCAGTGCTTGTGTTCTTCCTTGTAATGCACCCTAGTGCATGTGTTCCTTGTACTGTACCTTAGTGCTTGTGTTCTTCCTTGTAACTGTACCCTAGTGCTTGTGTTCCTTCCTTGTACTGTACTCTGCTTGTGTTCCCTTGTACTGTGACTCTAGTGCTTGTGTTCTTCCTTGTAATGCACCCTAGTGCATGTGTTCCTGCACTGTACCCTAGTGCTTGTGTTCCTTCCCTTGTACTGTACCCTAGTGCTTGTGTTCCTTCCTTGTACTGTAATTGTGCTTGTGTTCCTTCCTTGCATCAAACTTCTAGTGCTTGTGTTCCTTTCTTTGTACTGTACCCTAGTGCTTGTGTTCCTTCCTTTGTAATTTACCCTAGTGCATGTGTTCTTTGTACTGTAACCTAGTGCTTGTGTTCTTCCTTGTAATTGCGAACCCTAGTGCTTGTGTTCCTTCCTTGTACTGTACCCTAGTGCTTGTGTTCTTTCCTTGTAATGTGCCCAGTGCATGTGTTCCTTGTACTGCACTCTAGTGCTTGTGTTCCTTCCTTGTACTGCAATCAGTGCTTGTGTTCCTTTCTTGTACTGTACACTAGTGCTTGTGTTCCTTCCTAGTAATGTACCCTAGTGCATGTGTTCCTTGCACTGCAAACCTAGTGCTTGTGTTCCTTCCTTTGTGTACTTAGCAGTTTTAATGTTCTTCCTTGTACTAAAAATGAGTGCTTGTGTCTTTCTTGTAACTGTACCCTAGTGCTTGTGTCTTTGTAATTTACCCTAGTGCATGTGTTCCTTGTACTGTACCCTAGTGCTTGTGTTCCTTCCTTGTACTGTACCCTAGTGCTTGTGTTCCTTCCTTGTACTGTACCCTAGTGCTTGTGTTCCTTCCTTGTACTTTACCCTAGTGCTCGTGTTCCTTTCTTGTACTGTACCCTAGTGCTTATGTTTGTTTCTATCCACTGATATCAATGATTTGTTCTTATCCTGCTTTATAGAAAAAAAGTTTGAGAAAGAGTATAATTAATAAGAAAGACCAAAGCACAAGGACCCACATTCTTTACAGCTGGTAAGTCCAACAGTGGAAGTAATTCAGCCGAGCAGCAGGCGGAGAGTTGATGGGTAAAGTTTGCTAACAGGTCTCTGAAAGCCCATAGTTCTTTCAGCTCCTGTAAAATAACCATATATTATGCAAACAACACTTATGACCAGTAGAACACTTATGACCTGTAGGCCACTTATGACCTGTAGAATACTTATGACCTGTAGAACTTTTATGACCTGTAGAACATTTATGACTTGTAGAACACTTATGACCTGCAGAACCCTTACATTATGACCTGTAGAACACTTATGTTATGACTTGTAGAACACCTATGTTATGGCCTGTAGAACACTTATGTTATGACTTGTACAACACTTATGTCATATACTGTAGAACACTTACGTTATGACCTGTAGCCAGGCGGAATTTTATAAAAAGAAAGACCGCTGACCTGACTAACTCTTCCTCTAGTAAATTATAGCATGTTTATATTCAAATTGGTCGCTGTCTTGTGAGAATTCCAGCAATGTTAATTATATTCTCCCAGGTCATTTCACTGGCATTTTAAAATAAGAGAAGCTTAGTAGGACTGTTAAATAAACACACAGAGACCTTCGGCTCAAACTGTCAAACATAACATATCACCTCAACCCCCTCCCCTCGCTGGCTGGCTGGCTCCGTCCCTCCCTCCCCCCCAGCCAGTGTTTTAGGCTTACAGTTTTTATCTTATATAATATCTCAGACTAAAGTTAGGAAATTATAATTTGCATTGCAGGAATCCTTGCAAGACAGCCAATAATTTGAATATAAATGTCATATATTTTGCTCAAGAGATAAAATTTGTAGTACAATAGTGTACAGTACTGTAGTACATTTTATAATTTAAAGTTTTTCAACTGTATTTTTGGGTAGAATTACATAAATTTCTTCATTTATTTTCATCCATTTACATGCACATACCATACTAAAAGAAACGTAAAAGAAATAAATGACCTTAGTGCAAAGCTGGAGTGCACATGTACTAATTTGATTATGGTACTAAAATTGTTATGTCTAGTGCAAATTATAATTTGTTTATATTTTCAATTAATCATTATCTTACAAGAATCCCAGCAATGTAAATTTTATTCACCCAGGTCATTCACTGGCTTTTTATAAGAGAGAAGCTTAGTCACTTAAGAACTGATAAATAAGCACGCGTTAGACCTTGGGTGCCAACTGTCAATGTACTACCTCACCTCCCGCTCCCCTCCCCCCACGCTCCCTCCCTCCCTCTCCCCCATCTGCCCAGCGTTGCTGGAATCCTTGTAAAACAGTGAATAATATTAATATAAACGTCATGTATTTTACACAAGAGATAAAAATTAATCACCTGTATCACATTACAGTAGTGATTTAAGAGTAAGAGTGAATATGTACGTATACTGTACAGTGAGTTCTGCTATAACGCGTGTTTTGACAACGCGAATTTGCTCGAACGCGATTTATGAATTGAGGAACGATATTTGTAAAACGCGAACTCGTTTGCTCTAACGCGATTCCACTCGAACGGTTGTTGTGGCTTCAGTTCACGTTCGACATCACATGTTCAATTGAGTTATGTGTTTTGTTTGTGAACAATTGCAGAAATAATGTATGTAATATTTATGTATACAGTATACCTATATATTATAAGTAAATTGTAAAATTTTACATAAAAGAGAAAATCAAATTACATAGCGTTTTACACCCGCGCTCTCTCTACATCACACACAGTGTTTACAGTTCACGTTCGACATCACATATTCAATTGATTTATGTGTTTTGTTTGTGAAGAATTGCAGAAATAATTTGTAATATTTATGTATACAGTAAACCACTCACAAGGTCCTACAGTACCACTAATTATTTTATACTGAAACTTACGTTTGGGAAGCTGGATTAAAATGAAGATTACCGGTATATTAAAATAATAAAAATGTATTATTAACCTGTCTAACATACCGTAATAAACACAGCTGCTATTATCAACCCCCCCACCCCCATTTGCCAGTGACAAGAAAGGGAAAGTGACCTTGACTGTGACCGCCTGTGGCTATTTTTAGCCGTCCTTGTGTTCGGAGGTGGTCAGTAATGCATATCTGTATATTTACTGATCATAATACTTATCTCTTATAAATAATTCATTTAAAATTTATTTTTTTGCAAAGAATATTCAGTAAATGACTGCATTAATTCTTGAAACTACCTACAGTGGTAAATTTAGGATATAAATAATGAACAGAAGTCACGTCATGGATTCGGAGTTTGGTCCTTAACGATCACCATAAATGTAGCCTCCCTTTTTCGCGAAACACGTATATAAATTAAAGAAAATACTTGCAGTATATTTAATATATTACAGTATATTATATATAAATAAATAAACAAATAAATTCAAATTCCCTTATCATCCTGTGTCATATACAGAAATACTTGAGTCCCTGAGCGAGTACACAAAAAGAAAACGGACATCCTGGAGTGGATAGAGAACGGACATCTCTACTGGGGGACTCAAACGTTTCTCATGTTTTGTGGGCGCTCTAGCATAATATGAATAATATGTAAATTACAATTTACATACATATATATATATATATATATATATATATATATATATATATATATATATATATATATATATATATATATATATATATATATATATATATATATATATATATATATATATATATATATATATATATATGTGTGTGTGTGTGTGTAAATTGTAAAAATTTAAATAAAAGAGAAAAACTAAATACGTAGCGTTTAAAGTGTTAAAGTGTACTGTACAGTGTTGTGGCTTGGCTCAATGTTTACAGTTCACGTTCGACATCACTTGTTCAATTGATTTATGTGTTTTGTTTGTGAAGAAATACCTGTACAGTATATGTAAATTGTAAAATTCTAAATAAGAGAGAAAAACAAAATAAGTAGCGTTTAAAGTGTACTGTACATTGTGGCTTGGTGCGGGGTTATGCAGTGTTTACAGTTCACGTTCGACATCACATGTTCAATTGATTTATGTGTTTTGTTTGTGAAGAATTGCAGAAATAATTTATGTAATATTTATGTATACAGTATACCTGTACAGTATATGTAAAATGTAAAATTTTAAATAAGAGAAAAACAAAATACATAGCGTTTTAGACCCGCGCGCTCTGTTTACTCCACACTTTGTTTGAAACACGTGAAGCTTTTAAGTGTCCTCAGTGAATTCTGATTACTGTTTCTCCAATTTTGTGACTATGGAAAAGAAGAATATCTCTGGGAAGCACTCTGGTGATCGCATTTCCGGTGGTGATCGTATAAGAAAGGCTATAACACTTGAAGAAAAGCTTGATGTTTCATGACTCCTCAGCCTCAACATCACCCTTCTCCCCCATCAAGTTATATTCATATTTTTTCAAGGTAAAGTGTAACATTTACTGTATGATTTCATTATTAGATATGAATGTAACATTTATTTAGACTGTGCTATCCTTTGTGTTCGGCTAACTACGAAATTTTTTTTCGATTTGGAGTAATCTGCACCTAACCCTATTTTCTCCATAAGCCCTGTTATTTCTATTACACGAATTTCTATAACACGATGTTTTACAAGAACACTACTATCGCGTTATAGCAGAACTACCTGTATAGTATTCCACATACACATAAGTATGAAGACAAAGTTTATGTGATGATCGGAAGTCGATTTCAGTTAACGTTACGTTTCCAAGAACGTATTTAGGACGTTCACCGGCGCATGACTATACAAAATATTTTCATCTAAACACTAGTGCTGTACTGTACTGTCCACACCAAGTACGTTGACACCTGACGCACGTTCCTGCTTGTACCACTTGTACGCAGCTTGAACTGAATCAGTAAACTTTGTTGGCTTTATCCTTTTCTGCACTTTTTTTGAGCTGCCATCATCGTCTAAGAGTTAAAAAGTGCTTCTGAAATTTGTCCCATTCTTATTTATGTCGTAAAATGTGCCGGACTTGATCCCAAACTTCTCGGCATCTACCCGGCCTAACTCTTCATTTTTCTTGCGAAGACTGAGGGACTTGAGCTTCATGCCCTTCCTATAGCTCCTTGAAGGTACAGACGCCACATGAGTGATGTTTGATGAGGGAGAACACAAGCAGAGAACAAAGTGTGGAGAGACAAGCCGCACACACTCGACCGCAACAATAACAAGCACCAGACTAGACTGACTCACGCTTGGAGCACAGTCCTGCTCGGCGTTACTGTTACCATGTGGTCAGGTATGCAGAGATTTTCCCAGATAATTTTAAATATCTCAGCATTTCCCGGCGGCAGCGGTGGTGGTTTGTGTGTGTGTGTGTGTGTTATCATATAACTTTGAGATATTGATTGATTGTGGCAGCACAACAGCGTAGGTAATATGTCAGTAAATTAAAATAAAGGCTTAAAAGACAAAAATCAGGTACAATACAGTGATCCCTCGGCTAACGAACGCCTCGGTTAACGAAATTTCGGTTTACGAATTACCTTCCATAAGAAGATTCAATTCTGTTAAAGAAAAAAATTCGGTTAACGAATTCCTTACGAATTCTTCTCAACATGTTTTCGCTTGTTCACCAGGTGGAATATTAGTCCGCCAATACAGTAATAGGTTCTTGGGCTTAAATTTATTCCCATTTGAGTAAATATCAAGAAGGTTGTACTATTCAATAATTTTAATTTTAAAAGTTTTATATAATTTTTTTTAGTCATTTTAACACTTATTTAACATACCGTATATACTTGTCTATAACCCCCCTTCGTATATAGGTCGACCCCGATTATTTTACCAAGAAATCGTTAATTTATGATATTCCTCGTTTATAGGTCGACTCACGTTTTTGAGGGTAAAGGAACAACAAAACCCTCAGAAAAACACTACGTCCTATAAACTTGTTTACCATTTATTATTACAACACTTTACACTGAAATGCAGGTAGTTTCAACAAAAATATTGTATATTTCCATTCAAGTCAATTAGGAGGGAATATTATTGTAATACAACAGTTTTTAACTGAAAACCATTCGAAAAGCGATTACGGTAACATATTTTGAACGAAAGAAAGCAAAAGTCATTGTTTTCGTCAC